ACGGATAAGCTTGGAGTATTAAAATTGTTCATTAAATTGAAACAGGCGCGTTCGTTTAAGTGAGTGCAAAAGACTATGAATAAGTTGGGGTACTATAGTCGTTCATTAAGCTAAAACAGGTGATTCCGCCCCGGGCGTTTATGTTCGCGTTAGTGTTTTCTTTGTGTTTAGGTGGGTTTGCGTTAGTGGTTTCGTTTTGATTTGGTTCGTTTTTGTTCTTTCTTTTTTCGTTTTTGTTTGTGTTTTTTTTGTTTGTTTGGGTTTGTATTTGTGTTTTTGGTTGGTTTTGCGTTTGGATTTGGTTTGTTTTCGTTTGCTTTTTCGTTGTTTTTTTTTGTTGGTATTGGTGTTTGTGGTTGGGTTTTTTGTTAGGTTTTTGTTTTCGTTTGTATTTGTAATTGTGTTAGCGTTATGTTTGCGTTTTGTTGTTTTGGTTGGTTGTGGTTTGGGTGGGCAATGCCGGGTTTATGATGATTACTAAACACACAGGTAATGGAATTTAACAGAAAGGTTTTTCACAGAATATATATATATAAATATATATATATATATATATATATATATATATATATATATATATATATATATATATATATATATCCTAATAAGCATACCTTTCAAGATATTAATGGATTATTTATAACTTATAGGAACATTCGACACCGATATTTACAAAACTGCTAATTTAAAAAGCTGTCAATTGTGTTCAATGAGCGGTAAATTGGATACAAACATCTAACCTTCTTCTTCTTCTCTTCTTCTTCGTTCTTAATTTTAGTGTTGGCAGGGATCCCCTCCAATACAATTAAGTATACGTGTCAACTGGTTAGGCGCCATTGAGACCATTGACTCTGATTTCAGCTTGCTTTTCTTTTTTACTTTCTCGTATATACGAAGTATAGAAAAAGTCTTGTAATGGTGCAAAAAAAAATTTAAAATTTTTCAAATCTCGACGTTTTACACCTCACTGATACGGAAAAACATAATTTTGTGTCTGTGTGTCTGTGTGTGTGTAAACACGATAACTTGAGTACCGTTAAAGCTAGGTTGACGAAATTTCATACATAAGTATTATATAAAATGTGTAGATCCTTTTCAACTTTTCAGCGATTTCCGATAACCGGAAGTGGAACTTTTTCTAGTTTGAATTTTTCAAAAGCCTATAACTGGAGTACATTTTCAGATAGATAAATGAAAATTTCACATACAAGTAAAAGATATAAATTTTAATAATGAAATAACACACGGGAACAACTACGTTTGTCTTCGTTCAAAAATACGCTATGATAAAATAAAACTGCTGTTACCAGATCAAACTAATCAAGTCTCAATGTTCATGTGCTGTTGATGGAACAGAGCACATTCAACTGTAAATATTGGTAATGCTCAATCTATCACTGTAATACAAACTGGGATGCACACCATGAGTCCAGGGACAATGGGCAGGGTTCAGGGCACTTGTATCTCAAGTCATGTGGAATGATTTATTCTTTGTTGAAATAGAAGCATGTCGAACACAGGCAAGGTATTAACTATAGCATTCAAATTATCGCAAACCAAAATGGTTATCTGTTTGCTAATATTAAAACTGAAACAAAATAACCTGCTCACAGTTGAACATTGAGCCACTTAATTCAAGACTATCGTACCTCGATTAACGAACGCCCCAACTTCTACTTTAGGCAATCACTTTTATTTTATTTTTACTTTCTCGTATATACGAAGTATAGAGAAAGTCTAGTAATCGTGCAAAAAAAAAAACACAAAAAAAAACAGGATTTTTACAAATCTCGACGTTTTACACCTCACTGATACGGAAAAACATAATTTTGCAATCTTGTCCGTATGTCTGTGTGTCTTATTTTATCAACATCGTAGATCCCTATCAACTTTTGAGCGATTTCCGATAACCGGAAGTGGTACTTTTTCTACTTTGAATTTTTCAAAAGCCTATAACACGAGTACTATTTCAGATAGATAAATGAAATTTCACATGTAAGAAAAAGTTCTAATTCTCTACCTTCTGTCAAATTTTGAGTAATTTCCGTTGACCGGAAGTACTAATTTACGCTATTTCCGATTTCTCAAAAACGCATGTAAATGTATAAAGTACTAATAATATTCCGCATTATTATGCACATTTCATTTGGCGTTCACTTGGTGTGCAATCCTTTTTTTCTACGAGATTTTACTCTATTTTAAAAACTTTAAGTATTTAAAATGGAGCTCCCATCCCTGTTGTTTTATATAAGAATATTCGAGAAAGTTTAGGGGAGATCACTCCCGGTTTATTTTAATTTGTTTCCATAGCCTTTGCCCAACCAAGAACAAACTACAGCAGATGTTTGATTTTGGAGTTGTCTCTCCTAGAAGAGTGGCTATCCCCAGCTAACGAGCCTCATCTACCCGAGGACTTGAACTCGAGACATTTCGGTTAAGCATCCTCGAGCTTTACCGACTTGACCACCCCGATCCCCTAACATCTAACCAATGTGTACTCATTTTTATCATGATTATATGTTGTCCCCACCCTCTACCACGACACACATACTAACAAAACACAGGCGAGATCCATCCGCTACGTCAGTAGCACTAAATATATGACTGTTTAGTTTAGGCCTGTAGAAGTTTCCGACCTCTGCCCCGCGATCTAGCCGGGTACCTGACGGTAAGACGATGTCCTGCGTCTGGTGGTGGGGGAAGTAAAGCCTGGTCAGAGCCTACGGATGGATAAGCGACCATCATGTAGTGTTTCAAACCAACATCTTCGTGAGACTGATTCAGTCCACAATTGGCCATTTAGTTGAAGTTCACTACGTCGAGACCTCCATGGCTAATGGGAGTCAAACTCCTGAGCCTGTATATCCGTGTCACGATAGTTATTGAACTGTAATTCAAGTTTTTATATTGAGCATGAGAAAGCTGGAAATGCAGACTAACCTTGAACAAACGTAAATATCCATGAGAATATTATAATGTCGTTACAGAGCAGACGATAAAGACTGGTGGCACTTGTTTGATTATAGACGCAAAAAGAAAACAAAGAATATCAAACCACATTATGTAGGAAATTATCAATAACATACAGGGGTCAAACTAGGCCCAACTAAAACAGTAAGCACGGTATAGCGTAAAACAAGTAATTAAAAAAAAGTCTAGTGACAATTTTAGCGCAATTTCCTTGTGTTATCTAAAAATAGCTCTGTCGTAGCGTTAATCAAGAGCAGGGTTAGTAAAACCATTGGTTAGTTATTAAAAAGTTTTTTATTAATTTTTTTCAGTATTTTACATGTTTTATTTACAATAGAGTAACATGACTAAAAACTATTGCGCGCCCAGCTACCGAACGTGACGTCGCAGCCATTGAACGTGATGGCGCGTGTGGTGTGGTTGCATAAAATGCCTACTAATTCGGTCCACATTTTAATTAATTAAAAAAACATTTTGTGACCGAACGAAGGGATATTTTTGAAAACTTTCTTCGGCAATATTGTTCTAAATTATGGCAGGAATCGATTGGTACATGTTTCAAGTCGCTAAGTGGTCTGGTTGCCGATATATGGGCCAAAAACTGCATTTTTTCGAGGTTTTTTGGCTTTTCCGGGAAATCCATGAAAGAAACCCGGAATTTTTATAGCCTATGTTCATCCTCGTAACTTGCTTAACATAATTGCTTTTGGAACTAGTCCTCGATATTGCTTCGTTGAGGAGGAGATACGACTTAAAGCTGCGGACACACATCCATCCATCCATCCATCCATTCCCAGAAAAGACGAGTAAATAAACGCAATTCTCCAGAATGGAAATTGCGCTAAAAACACACCTCCATCCTCTTAGGCATCATCCATTTATGAGGCGCACAAAAAGTTGGATTTCCACTGGCGTCCATTTAAAGAACGTCATCCCTGGCCTGTAAACCCGATATTAACGTTCACTAAAAGTAAAGGCCTATAAATGTTTTTAAAAGTTTAAATCATACAGTATTCACACCAGATGCATGTCATTTATGTGTCAGAATTTGACCGCTGTTTGTGTTTTTTATCTCTAAAATCAACCCAATTTATTGTGATAAGCAAACGCTGTCCGGGCTGGTATTTATACTAAAGTGTGTGCTCGAGTTTAATATTTTGATCAAAAATTGAAATAAACTTGTCATTTAGATATTAAAACATTGACTTTTACTTTTATAGTAAAAAAAACAAAACCCATAGATTTCACTTTAAAGGGAAATTTACTATGATTGAAAAAGGAAATTTGGGGGCCCCTAAAAATCGGGGGCCCCTGGCTGCATCCCCTCAGCACCCCCCTTAATCCGCCCATGCCCTGGGATGTTGGTACCGTAACCCCCACCCCCGGGATGCTGGTACCATTCACGAGACGAGGTGTGGGACTCGTGAAGTTTTGATGAGCCTCAGTCTCGTCCCTAAAAGCTTGTCTGCGGTTGTCACGTGGTCAGGTTCAGATAGAGGCTGGTTAAGTCTGGATGACCTTCACACCGACCACGGGTCAGTACAGAGCCTCGCTAGTTCTATTTTTAGTTGCTCACAAGCTTATACGTGGGTCACAATGTCTAGCATTGTGCAGATGTGGATCGCCGATGACAATGTAATAAAATCTAATTTTAATGTTGTTAGAAATTTATATCACGGACGTGGTTTTTAGAGGAATATTACAGGGTAAATTAGAGATATGTTACACAATTATACAGGGGATATCAGAGGAATGTTACTGATTATAATATAGGTATGTTATATATGTGGTGAGTGGAATTCGACAGGTGAGATTAGAGTAATTCTACATGTAAGTTTAACGGGATGTTAAAGATTAGAATTCCATGTCCCTAAATCCTAACCTTTTTGTACAATTCTTGAAGTAAAGTGTCACCCCCCCCCCCAAAGTTTTACAAACAGTCCAACGTGTCAATATAGCTAATCCCCACTAATCTATATCCCCACTAATCTATATCCGCCTCTCAATCCAACGTGTGCCGCCCAGATACCATGTATCAGCTGGATCATCAAACAATATCCCATCACTGCCGTATGCATGTTCTTTGTGAGATCAGTGGTTCTAAAACCATAGACCCTCATACCCCGTCATTGTGTCATGTCCAGCACTCGGCCAGGATTTTATCAGCAAGTAATGTTCCAGTCAATGGTCCAGTCAATGTTCCACTCAATGTTCCACTCAATGTTCCAGTCAATGTTCCAGTCAATGTTCCAGTCAATGTTCCAGTCAATGTTCCAGTCAATGCTCCAGTCAATGTTCCAGTCAATGTTCCAGTCAATGCTCCAGTCAATGTTCCAGTCAATGCTCCAGTCAATGTTCCAGTCAATGTTCCAGTCAATGTTCCAGTCAATGTTCCAGTCAATGTTCCAGTCAATGTTCCAGTCAATGTTCCAGTCAATGTTCCAGTCAATGTTCCAGTCAATGTTCTAGTCAATGTCCCAGTCAATGTTCCAGTCAATGTCCCAGTCAATGCTCCAGTCAATGTTCCAGTCAATGTTCCAGTCAATGTTCCAGTCAATGTTCCAGTCAATGTTCCAGTCAATGTTCCAGTCAATGTTCCACTCAATGTTCCAGTCAATGTTCCAGTCAATGTTCCAGTCAATGTTCCAGTCAATGTTCCAGTCAATGTTCCAGTCAATGTTCCAGTCAATGTTCCAGTCAATGTTCCAGTCAATGTTCCAGTCAATGTTCCAGTCAATGTTCTAGTCAATGTCCCAGTCAATGTTCCAGTCAATGTCCCAGTCAATGTTCTAGTCAATGTTCTAGTAATGTTCTAGTCAATGTTCCAGTCAATGTTCCAGTCAATGTTCTAGTAATGTTCTAGTCAATGTTCCAGTCAATGTTCCAGTCAATGTCCCAGTCAATGTTCTAGTCAGTAGACTCACCCTTCGACATGCACTCACACAGGACATATGACGTAGACATTTGACAACGTTTAGAAGCCCTAAATCTGACCCTTTGTTTCTAATCTCTCCGTGTAAAATGCGACCCGGAAGTCGAATATAAAATGTGAACGTTCAGCCTATCAGAGGCCACTTGAGCAGCAAGCTTCTACATCCGGGGGTGAGAGCTTAGGCCCGGCATCTGATGCGCTTTTAAAAAACTCAAACTAGTTTTGTTGAGTATAGTAACACACCCAGTTTAGGCTCATCAGTGGACAAGTGGATGTGCATTTCCTGTGTCACTCACAATCAGACAACACACACACACACACATACACACACACACACACATATATATATATATATATATATATATATATATATATATATATATATATATATATATATATATATATATATATATATATTCTCATATTTATGTATATGTATACGCGTATGTATAGATATTCACGACAGAGCTTGGCAGAGACCACACAGATTGCCAGATAAAATTATCTCCCAGTTGTCAACAATATTTGCACGGCCGACAACAAGCCATTTAATTTGTGCCTGGGCAATTGATGCCATGAAATATTCAGCGCTCCTTTTATCAACATCTTCCTCCCACCTGCCAGGTTTTTTAGCATGCCGTGACAGAAATTCTCAACCATCGCGTTAAAGACTCCTGAGTTGAGTTCACCGGCAAGGTGTTGCCTTCTATGAAAACATTTTCAGTTCACAGATGTCAACATTTAGCATCAGCTTTTGACAAGCGAAAAAAATAAACTCGGGGGGAAATGTATACATGATGCTAAAGTAAATTATATGATCCTATATTATTTATAGAAATTTACAGACATTTTTAAAATTTAATTATATATTTTTGCGGGGGCGGGGTGAGAGATACCACAACGAGGATCAGCTTCAGGTTAAATCATATCATAACGATGCTTATCATCAGGTAAACCATAACACAATGCAGAAAAATAATTTCATTTTTAAAATTTCGCCGAATTCTGGCAAAATTTGAACCCCTATGACGGCCATGCTATCCTTATAAATGATTCACACCAATCAAATCCATTTCAAACATTTAATTATCTACATCAATGTACAACAAATCTCAGTGCCAACAAGACCATTTAAAACATATTTAATTATCTACGTCAATGTGCAACAAATCTCAGTGCCAACAAGACCATTTAAAACCTATTTAATTACCTACATCAATCTGCCACGATTTAAAACCTATATCAACACAACAGCTCCCTTGTAAGGTTTAAACAACCAATTTCCGTTCTCCACTTTTAACTTTTTCAATAAAGTCTAAAAATAGATTTGACGTCACGTGATCCAGGAGCAACAAATGTACACACTATTGCAGGACAGCTGTTGGAGAAAACATGGACCAGGGTAACATTCTTTTATGCAAATGTGATTTGGTCATGTGGTGTTTAGATTATAAAAAATGCAGGTATGCAACTTGGTTTTATTTATCATCAAAGCTTAACATTTAATGCATTGAAATATCTGGGCTATGGTGCCATCTATGCAGTGGCGTAGCGAGGTCGGGTGTCACCCGGTGCGGCACTTAATGGTGTCACCCCCCCCCCCCCCCACAGAGGCGTAGCAACTCTTCCCGGGGACAAACTTTCAATTTTCGATTTGCACCCCCCCCCCTCGAACTTTCGATTTGCTACCCCCTCAAATTTTTCTCTATATATTTTACTATTTTTTGCCTTGGTGTCACCCCCCCTAAATAGTGTCACCCGGTGCGGTCCGCCCCACCCCCTCCTCGCTACGCCTCTGCCTCTATGGTGACCTCTATGATGACCTCTATGGTGACCTCTATGGTGACCTCTACGGTGACCTCTACCTCGCTTAACTTTAAGGTTGGAGTGTGGGGACGGTTGTTAAATTAGGTTGTATGTAACGAATGTGTGTAATGTACCGGGTTGTCGTGGGTTGTGAGAGGGTTGTGAGGTTATTGTCACACACTTGTATGTTCCTACAGCCGGGTTGCACTGGAAGTCCTATTCCAACCCTGTATGTTGTGTAAGTATAGATGAGACAGAAAAGGGAGATGACTCCCACTTATCTGTCGTGATGGAAAGATTTCAGTTACAGCTAGTGATAACTCAGAATCTGAGCGGCACTTGATAAAAAACTGATGGGATCTGGAGATTGTTTTAAAACGATAGTTTGTTGTTTTAAAACTTGCGCAATTACAGGAACACTACACACTTACAGACATAGTTAGATACACATTTTCAGACACATTCACACACACATGTACACTATCAGACACGCTTTCAGACACACACAACACATTCAATATACATTCACATACACACATTCAAGATGCATGATATATATATATATATATATATATATATATATATATATATATATATATATATATATATATATTACACAGACGCACACGTGAACACACGCACAGGCACACGTGCAATTAAAACAATTTATTGACGTCATTTTGTGGTTAATTAAGAACAACAACGCTAATCTATTTTAAATTACCATTTAACCCTAACCAAACATAAGATAAACTCGTATGTTTGGATGAGATGTGTTAACAACAGCAATAAATCTAGACAACGACGTATACAAACATCCACATAAAACTAATCATGGCAGTTGATCTCAAACGTTTACCCTTTAGAAACTTAGTTATCATTTTGTTAATTATATGACTTAACTTCTACAATAAACGTCTTAAAAGCCAGATTAATGAAAATATATGAGAAGATCTGATGGGGCCTATAGTGGGTATGGACAGTGGTTGGGTCAGTTATGTCCCTTCTCTACGGGCAAGTAGCGCTGGGTCAGTAGCGTGGCAGTTAGGTGGACCTGGGGTGGGGCTGGGGTGGGGCTGGGGTGGGGGTAGAGCCGGGGTGCTACGAAATACATGGGTGTTTAACTGTTGAATGGTGGGATAGAGGGGTTGGTATAAAGGTGGTCTGGTGGTGTTGTACTAATATCAAACCTTCCCGTCTCAAAGCAAAACTTCCTCCACCACAACTTTCTCCCCCTTCCCTTTCCCTCCCCCCCCCCCCCCCCCCCCCACACACACCATTCTCAACCACAACAAAAACTTGGTTTCTGTTCTCACAAAAACCTGGCAACAAGACGGAACTTATAAGCAGCCCCAACCCTTGTTGTTTATAAATATTTTAAAACGCGTACATAATTTCATCGATCATTTCATCGATTATTTCATCGATTATTTCATAGATAATTTCATAGATAAATATGTAGATACTCTCATAGATTATTCTATAGATATTCACAACCCACAACAGCATAGACCAGCAGACGTACACTTGTTTAGCACGTGAAAAGAACAAAGACGCATCAATTATTGACACTAGCTAGTGCGCACATTGTGGGTGCTTTACTTTTTGCTATGGTATACGTGGCAGGGTTTTTGAACATCTTCCGTGCCCAAACATATTACCATATATTGATTTTACATTAAGGTTTTTTTTTCTCCTTAAAATTTAATATATAAGAATAGGCGGAATATTTTTTTATATGTATATTTAAAATTAAAAAAAAATTCTAAAAGAAACGTTGTTAGTTTTGTTGTTTTTAAGAAAGAAAAGCAGAGTGGGTGTGTTAATGTCGCTGTAGCGATCATTCAGTGGCTAGCAGAAAAAAAAAACAATATTGAGTTAGATAACCGATGGTGTGAGATCAAAGACGATGACGTCAGAAAAATGGATGTCGATGTGTGGTTCAGGTATCGCTTGATGACGTCACGTGCCTGTCAGAAGAAGCAACCTTTTGTTTTTAAAATCGTGTTGTTGTTTTTTTTAACACCTGCGGTTTGTCAAGTCAAAATCTCGCCGACATCTATTTTTAGTAACACTGAATTTTTTTAAAAAATATCGTGCGACATAATTTTTGTCGCCGTTTGCGGTAGTCGAACTTTAAAAAAAGATCAGGTTCTAAATTGCCCAGCGATACTGGTGGCAGCGGCCGTGTTGACGGAGTACCCCAAGAACAGAACACATGAATCGTTCTGGAATATTCCTGACACCCGGCGGTCACGTGACGGAAATTAAATTTAAAAATGTCGGCCAGAGAAAACGACCCTGTCAGTCGATCGCCGAGAAAACGAGATTTTAATCACACGACGGACGAATTGGTCATTGTTTTCTCTTCGATTACAAAGTGGATCCGATTACAGATGAGAAAATTAACATGTGGACTACTCGACGATTACACTCAACGATACCGAGGATCGAGTATCCGATGAGGTGAAGTTTATATAAAATCTAAAAATATCTCAAATTAGAAACAAGTGTCAAAATATTGACAGAAGGAGGCGAAACTAGTTAGACGCACTTTGGAAATCGTCAAAAACAGATTCGCGTTTATTTGTGTAAAAGAGAAACCGGAACTGGTCAGATAGGTCGTCCATTTGACGGAGAGTGGTCGCCGCTTGTTGCTTAAGTTCATGACCTAATTCTCCGTGTCCGGTTTAAAATGGCGTCGGTAAAAATTGACATTGGTAATTGATGTTTTGATTGCTTGTTCATTTGACCTTAATTATTTTATTATTTTTGAGAGTACAGAAAAGACAAGCGTGGAAACATACAAAGTTTTGGATAAGATTTTAAATTTTATTTTATTGGAAGTATGTAGATAAATTAACACGTAATGGCACTAGTAATGGCACTTTATATATTTATATATATATATATATATATATATATATATATATATATGGTTCCATAGCCAAATAGACCATTGGATGATTGTGCATTGGAAATCTAAGCACAAATTCTGGGCCCTAAGTTGAGAAGAGCCAGATGTTGCCCGTGTATCAGGCACCCTCTCTTCACACAGCGATGGACCCAAGAGACATG